ATGTTTCCCCCTGTTCCATATGTGGTGAATACTGTAATCCATTAATTTGTTTCTGCTCGGAACGTTCATTATTTGATGATTTTATTGTTATAGTGAATACAATGTTTTGCTGACGTCACTGATGCTCCATGTCGTTGGACCCCAGAGTATTTCACTGCTAGAAATTTTTGTTATTCAAGGATATTGTGGCATTTGTGAAGACACTGTCGTGAAATTTGCAATAAATTTGACTCTTGCAATATTATAGCAGTTTACATTAGGGGAGGGAAAGTAATATATTTTTCAAATGGTTAACACATTTCCTGACCCGTTGTTTTCTCATTCATTTTAGATATTCTGCTTTCAGGCGATGTGTTAATCATTGACCCTCCCCCCTCTGTTCACTATAGTTTCAAATTACCCATGAATCATTGTTCAGATAACAGTTTCACAAACTCCATGTCAACATACTCCTTCGAAAAATCCATGTGCAATTATACAACATGTTACATATTTTATGTCATAAAATACATAGATCTTAGTGAACATTCCTAATACATATGCCCCCTTCAGATTTGCTGCAACAATACAACAAAAAAATGAATAAGAGGGCGAGCGCACTTTAAAACAAACATAATCATAATCCTAATTTAATAGGAAAATCTTAAATCAAACATTTGCTGGTAACAATGCTCATGGATGCGTGTTACAAAACAAAAAAGTTTATTCAGAAAATCAAAATAGTTGTCTGACCAATCCCAGCCGCTGTGAATTAAATGTCATAATTGCAGATAAGCAAGATCTGAGCACCATTCAACTATTTTGAATATAAACTTTTACAAAAACATTTATTTTTTACCACATCTATGGGTAACCTTAAACAATTACACCTAAAATCTTTGGAAGAAAAAACAACCACAAATTTTGCCAAATTAAAAACTAAGATATTTGTTGTATACAGTATTAAACAGCATCTGGCTTTTCCATCTATTCAAGCAACCCTATGCTTTTAATTATTGTTCTAGGTGTGACCAGAGTTTGTGATATATTGTATACAGTTAACATTGTGCTCTTTTCCCGATAAACCTTAATAATAGTATGTAAGCATTCCATTGTGGTATCCCTGGTAAGACACTGCCCTGACATAGTCGTTGGTATGTCAACTCAGCAGCTATTCACTTGTCTCTAGGTAGTGCATACCAGATGAGTTATATCCACACTAACACAAGAGTGTCTGTCCCCTCCCGCCTTTGAACCAGTGTTTCTGCAGAAACATGTTGCTGGCCTTTTAAAAAAAAAAGATTTGTCAGAATGCAGACATAGTGGTTCTACTGGGCATTCTTCTCTATGTAGCACGATACAGAGGTCACTTCCCTGCCTCTGACCTCAACAGTTTAGAACATGGTGAATTCTGAATTCTTTGTCTGACTGCATGACTTTAAAATTGAGTGAATTACACTCACTGGCTTTATAATGGTAGTGCTGGGTGGTATCATTGGTGCGTGAAAGTGAGTTTTGTGGCGGTATTTCATGTGTCTAATCCCTATCTGCCCTTTGATATTAAGTTAGATTGTTGGCAATTTCTAAGTAAATGACGAGGTTGCGCTAGTAGTGCATGAAATCATTTTTGGAAGAGATTCACTCTGTTGGGAGGAAAAAAATTCTCCGCATTGAGAAAACTTTAATCTGTAGATTTATATTCACTCTATATTTTGGTTTCTTGGATTATCTTCAATTGTTTTATTCTTTCATGCTGTATTGTGATAATGATATTGAGAATATGTGAATTTAAATTTTGTGTTTCTACAACTTCATTTGTTTCTTTTATTATAAGAAAAATAAATGCAAAAATATTGCTTTATCATTGATGTTTTCAGCTCGTATTCAAATAAATTACACAATTCAATGAAAGGATATACATACACAAATGTACTCTGAAAATAATACATGTAAGTTGCTTATCTTGAAAGTTTTTTTTTTTTATACATACCTGAATAAACTGAGGTTGAGGGCAATCAGGTTTTGCATTTTTGGAAATTGATTTTCTATATAATACCTGATTGCTTTCTACAATATTGAGTGTACCTGAAGCAATGTATCCGGGTACCAGCAATGGTGCTTTTGTCTCCTGTAATAGCTGTGCCACCCTGATAATACATTCAGCCACCTATCTGCACACACAGTATTGACTCTATACGGATCATTGTTTTTTTTATTATTAATCGACGTTTCATTCATGCTATTTATGTCAGTTGTTGAAATGGCAAATATTGAAGAAGAAAAAAACAATTATGTGTATAATATACATAATAAAATATATATATCAATAACGAAAAAAAATCATAAATTACAAATTAAATTTGCATGTTGCTTTTCAGACCCCACTAGTAAAATAGTTTACATATCATACTTGTTGGGTTGTTGAGTACAAATGTAATTTAAAATAATGATATTACTTTTACCAGGCTGAAAACCTACTATTATGTATCTTTGTGCTCTACTATACGTGATTCTTCAATTTGGGAAAGTTGTAGCAAATTGAATAAGCCAGACGACAGGAGTTTAAGATTTAAGTGCTCGCAGCATCTTTGTACATTAAAGAAAATACTACATCAGTCTGTATGTTTGACATTTTACTTTGCTGTTTCCCCTCTAGGTAGTTATGCTTCTTTTTGTTTATTTTATTTTTTTGCTCTTTACAGTTGCCAATCTATGTTGTTTTTATCCAGATGTGTGGCTAATACAGGGATGCAATGCTACTGTATTCTGTTACTCTAGGGTTGTTCCTAACAAATGTTTTGTTTTGTTTCCCACAATTGCAATCTACTCTTTCAGTAGTAATAATTTGTAGTAATATAAATCTTATGAATAATTGATAATAACCTTATTATTATACATCTTTTCCTTCCAAGGATACATCATGGGAATGCCGAAATCCAAAAAGTTTAGAACAGAATCAGCGAACTTCTTTGTATGGAGTCCGGGCAAACCTTGGTGGCAGCCATGTTTGTTTTTATTATTAGAGGACGCTTACGCGTGTAATCATTCCTTATTTGGAATTCGCATTTCCTAATATGGTAGGATGAAAATATCTCGTAAAATACGCTGAAATTTAGGTTGTTACGGTGACAGATAATAATATTATTAATAATAATATTTATTGAATCATTTCCTTGTTTAATTCTCCATAAAGCTGCACAATAAAGAAAGCAGGCAAAAGAAAAACCAAAACAAAGCTCTATATTTCTACTATATCGGTAGCAAGTATAATATTTTCAATTTTCTTATTTATTGTCAGATAAAATATCGCTATTTTTTGATAATGAATCCTAGCTGATTAAACCTGACAGATTATATTGCAGGAATTATATACTACTATTAAGTATTAAGTTTGTGTACAAATTACAAACTTCAATTTCTCTGTGACAATGAGTGAAACTTTTCGGGTGACTGGCTGCATTGATAGTGTGTCTGTATTTGACAAGTATAGCACAGTGCTGCTGGCTACATGGGGTGAATACACTGGTACCACTCTGTAAAGTATTAGTTTACAAGCCCTGCAGCTATCTATACAAACTGTGTACAGTATAAAGGGTAATTGTTACTCCTGTGCAAAGGCTTCCTTATTACAATCGTCATTTATCGCTGATATGCACACAACTTTTGGTGTCAATAAGTGTATGTATCCCACCACTTGTTACATGCAAGTTACAGTTGTCAACCATGTCTTACAGCTCGGGTATTTTTAAACTGAATTCTGTTTTAAATATAAAATCCAAAACGTATGTAAAAGAATTAATTTTGTTTGTATTTAACAGAGCCTTAAATTGCCATGGTCACCAAGTGTTGAATTTCGTTAACGAACAGGGTACCATATCAAACGTGATGGTGTGATGGTGCGTGACTAGCTTTAGGGTTATGCTGCATGTAATTCAGACATTAGTTGAACAAAACGCGACTATTCTGAAGTCTTTCGTATATTTGCTGGATTTTAGTTTCACTGAATAACCCCTTCAGTAAAAATTAATTCCAAGTGAAAATAATGTATTTTACAATAATCTTTCAACAGTGCTTAGAATGATACAAAATTTCAGGTAAAAACTTGTCACTGTGGTACTTTATTTAGAGAGTCAGAAAATTTAGAGGATTTTTTTCCTTGGATTGCCCTCAAATATACCAGGTTTTGTAGCATACAATAGTACCTGTCATGTTGACTTTTAGTGAATATTAATAGTCTTATAGTAAATAATCTTATTTGATCGATTACACTAGATCTATTTATAGTATAGCATCTGATTTCCTGCTTCACTTATGTCTCTTCTAAAACATCTGGTTATATTCTCTTCTAAAACATCTGGTTATATTCTCGTCCATATGACATCCGGGTTGTTGTATAGCAAACAACTGAGACACAATGTCAGAGATGATAATTTCCCAAAAATTATGTTTGCAATTCTAGGCAATGTAAATAAATGTCTATGTTCATATACTAAATTTTGAATGTACAAATTGTGTGTAGAATAGAGTAAATTAGGCACACATGTTTCACCCTCACGTTTCATCCTGCTTTTCTCAGCACACAAATTTGGTGATTCGTACATTTACTTTGTTTGCTTTTTGTTCCATTGGCTGCGTCCCTTGCCCTGTTAGAAGAGTTAAAGCCATTGAGGCGGAAATGTTGTTTTTCTCAACAATACCGGCTCGTATTTTCATGGTAACCTTTATTGGTTTCTTCAAGAAAAGAAACAGAAAGGAATTTCCATATGCTGTAAAAGTGTGCATTGCATTTCGCTCGTTGTATATGTCTTTAGAAACTGTACGTGTGCTGTGAGTTTTTGTGCAATTGTCTGAGCATGTCTGTGTGAAATGAAATGCAGTATGGGATGTATTCTGGGTACCATGGGTGAGAGCAAGCATGTTTAAATATAGCTTTGTGTATGTACCAAATTGTTGTGAGGGACTATAAAAAAAACATTCCTAAGACTAAGTATATTTACAAAACAATAATAATTATCTTTCAGGCACTCGCCAGCAACTAGACCGCGAAGTCCCTCATCAAGTAATAGTGGTAGCTCATCCAGCGAGTCTGAAGATGAGAGTAGTTCGGGAAGTGATTCAGATAGTGAAAGCAGCTCAAGTGATAATGCTTCTCCCTCTCCTTCGCCTTTACAAAAAGAGGTAAGAATCGCCTGAATTTGTTTTTGAACAATGAGGTGTGGGATACAAATTCCAGTTTTACATCTACTGAGCGTACTGAGTTTTGAGCTGTACTGTATGGCAATGCATTGTGGGATAGAAACTGTAGCAATGCATTATGGTATATAAATTCAAGTTCTGTAGCTATTGAGTATATGGCAATGCATTGTGGGATAGAAAATGTAGCAATGCATTATGGTATATAAATTCAAGTTTTGTAGCTATTGAGTATATGGCAATGCATTGTGGGATAGAAAATGTAGCAATGCATTATGGTATATAAATTCAAGTTTTGTAGCTATTGAGTATATGGCAATGAATTGTGGGATAGAAAATGTAGCAATGCATTATGGTATATAAATTCAAGTTTTGTAGCTATTAAGTATATGGCAATGCAATATTTCAATTCATATATAATATATGATTTTTTTTCAGTATTTTGTTTTGTCTTCCTTGAGTAAAACATTTTGTTAAGAGAAATTAATATAACATCTAACCCCAGAAAGTGGAGTCTTTTATTTGGTCACCTGACAATTGTTTTCATGTTCTGTATTGTAATGGCCTGATAATTGAAATAATATTGAATTCGATCCAACCCTCCTTGAACAAAAATCTTGGAAAGGTAAAAAGTGTTTGCCTCAATTTAAATTCAAATTGGCTGCTATTCTTAACCTCTTGTGGTGCCACTCAGACAGGCCTTTTGTGCAATATATTCTGGATCTTACTTTTTTCTTCTTCCTGCAGCGTAAATGGTGTTTGGCGCCATTTTTTAGTGCTGCTGCAGTACAGAAAACAAAGGCATCTCCTGGAAGTGCTTCCCAAAACAATAAATACCACCCAAAACCTGGAATCATCAGTTCAAATTCTTCAAACCGTGAAGCTGTCAGCGCTCCTAGGAATTCTCCGAGTAAGCTGTTGGAATGTGGGGACAGCAGCAACGGCTTCGACACTAGGGACTTTAGCGACACAGAGCAACAAGGTTTTGATCCTGGTGGTGGGTTGAATGATTTGGACCAAGTTGAAAAGAACAAACCAAATGGGTTGATTAAGTTGAAAGTGAAGGTGCCATCCAAAACAATATCCAAGGGGAAATCACCGGGAAAGGCATCCACAAGTAAAAGTAATGTTAAATCAGCGGCAAATAAGTCTGGTAAGAAAATGAGTTCAATTAAGAAATCAAGTGTTGAAAAAGCAGCTGAGGGTGGGTGTGGTTCAAAAACTACTCCTGTGAAAGGAAAAACGAAAGACTCTAAGGGTAAAACAAACAAACAAACCACTAAGTCTCATGAGAAAAAGACTGATGTGAAACCAAAGACTCCAAAACAATCAACTCCGAGGTCTGACAAGCCCTCAACTCCCAAACAAAGTGACAAAAAAAGCAAGAAACCTACAGCTAGTAGTACGAAAGGGGAGAAATATTACAAGTCAAAAGCGTTTGTCAGTGACGACAGTGATTCAGACTCTGATGCGAGTATTGATGTGGTCAATACAAGTTCTCCTGACAAATCATTACAAAATACAAGCATTAAAAGTCTGTCATCTTCATCCTCATCCTCACTGACTATGACCCCAAGTCATACGAAATGCTCAAAATCAACAACTCCCAGTAAGACCAAAACGAAAGACAAAAGTAGCAGTGGTAAGAAATCATCCGAGAAAGCAAAAGTTGAAATTAATACTGGACTTAAAGTGGTGATCAGCGAAATTGGCAAAGACGTTGCACTTCCAGAGCCATTGCTATCACCAATTCAAAATGAGGACTTCCGGCATATGCCTACCTTGACGCCAACTAAACCATTCCTTTCATCATCTGCTTGTCAGCAACTTTCCAAGATTGAGTATGTTAATGGGATTCCATCGCTTGTTGTCAAGCTTGATCTCTCACTTATTGCTAAAGTTCCCACTAAAGTCTCGGTGAAAAAAGAGATAGAGGAGTCTACGAGTTTCAGTGGAAACCCTCCAATTATAACTTCAAGTGCTGTGGAGGAGAAACCGCCAAAGCTGAAGAAGATTCCGAAACGCAAACAGGAACAGGTGAGTACATATCAAAGACCTTGACTTCAAATATATTATATTTGTCATGCAAGTCAATAGTTGCATCAATTGCACATTAGATCATTAAATTATGACTTATTTTAACATAGGTTCGTTTCGGCTATTTATGTAAGCACATACACTACCACGTTAAGAAAACGTTATATTTTAATGATCCAGTTTGCAATAATGCAACTGTTGACTTGCGTGCACTTCTATTGGTTTCTAAACGAGGCAAATATGATATAGTTTTTGCTTGCGTCAACTGTTTCATGCCACTCTAAAATCAATGAACTCTTTTTTACCTTGTGTTCAATGTTCAGGCAAAAGACATGCGAAAATAGAAAATCTATGCGTCATGCATTTAATGAAGTTTAAATCTTTCCTAATCAATTGTAAATTATATTCGCTTAACGATTTTTTCAAAATATTGTTACACAACTAATACAAATATAGATTGGGGGTCAAATGAAGAGTAGTCTGAGTTTTAATGATGTAATGGCATTTTGTATATAGATGCCACACTCGCTGATTGCTTTCCTCCAGTCACAATTCATTACTGTGCAAACCTGGAGAACTTTGAGAATTTCTCGCTTCACCGACTGTCTTCACAATCAATTTAATGCTGCCATGCTAGACTTTGGCTTGCCTAGAGATCTGTGCCAATCATTTATTTCTAATCTTACTCAAGCTTAACATTGGTAATTTGAAATGCTCTTGCAAAAGAGATAGGTAGAATAAGTGGACAATATTTCATAGTTACTAGTATTTTGTTTGAAATGGAGGTTACCATGTTAAGTGGCCCTGTGATTATTGTTTCATAGTTATGCATTTAGGCATGTACATATGTTAAATCTAATTACATACCTAAAAAAACACCTCTCTGTGTTTAGAAGAATTATTACAATTTATTTCAGTTCAGGTTTTGTGGAAAACATGTACATCGCCCTCAATCTGTGATTCCCTGCCATCAAATATATATATATTGTAGACCAAATGGACGTAATTTCATATTGAGTATATGTCTCTAAAAAATAATGCAAGTTTATTTTGGGAGTGTTCAAATTGCCAAGGCAACCAAATTTAATAGAATTTAATGATGTGTCATTCTTGCATATTTATAATGTTTTTGTTTACTGGAATTTATTTTGTGCAGAAAATTCAATCAGGGTTTACAAATTGTTACTGATTTGTCATAAGCTCTGTAGTTACGTTTGTTAATAATATAGCAAAAATAAACTAAAAGTAAAAATAATATACATAAAGTTTATAAATATATTTGTATTTTTTGTAAATTTGAAAAAGAAAAAGAAAAAGCGAAGAGTGATTTTTATAATATAAATATACTGGTACATGCGTTGTTTTTTTTGTTTTTTTTTCTCATGCAATCAGTGACATTTTATTCGAGATACTGCACGGACCTCTGGCATTGAAAAATGATTGATCTATTTGTTTTATTGCTTGTGGGTTATTTCATTTGCAATACTACATGGGGTTGAAAGGGTAGCCTAACAATATGAATGCAGCTTTGCCCTCAATCTGTGCTAGGTCAGTTTAAACAATGAGACGTACCTTGAAGCTTTCCATTGGTGTACAGAACTCTGTTTTTCAATTAGGCAAAAAAAATCAATCTTGTGTTTCATGTACATGTTTATTTTATGCAAATTAGTTCAAATTTATTTATTTACTGGTATATGCAAATTATTTCATTTACCAGTAATTCTATTTCGTTATTGGGGGCACTTACTTTTGTTTGATTGAAGTATATGTTAAAATTAATTTAGATATAATTTTTCACATCTGTTGTAAAAGAGTGATTATGTTCTAACAATTACCTATGAGTATATCTCATTGGGAAAACACTCAATTTACTTTATATTGCTTTACCCATACATGGCATAGTTAATGTACAGGTAATTACTAATATCACCATCACTGACTGTGAATCTCGTAACATCAATACCTTGCCCTTTCCTGCTAACAAATTATTTATTATCATGAAATCGAATCTACAATATTATTTTGGAATTCTAATCTGTATCAATAAATAAAACAATGTATAAAATTTTTTCTCCATTCCTCCTTCCCTTACAAGCCTGTATTATTATGTGCTACCCCGGTATATATTGTACCTCAGTTATCAACATGTATGATTGTCTCTGTCCATATGCCATTAAATATGTCAATATAAAAATTCACTGCCCTATGTCTTTATGACAGTCACTACCCTTTAATGGACCTATTAAGTAAATCCTAACAGGGGATAATAGCTTCACAAGTGCTTTCATGAGAAATTGCCCTCACTACATTCATATATACTATAACATTCCATTAGCCCTGATTAGTATCAGACGGAATACCTAACAAACTGCAGCCTTTTCTAAGCATTGTCACTCCTGTTTATTTCTTTTCTTATGCACCCGTTGCTTTAGTGTCGAAAGCACCCTGAATAAAGAGCTAAACCTGTTATGAGCATTGAGTAAAATTGCATCTAATAATAATTTTGAAAACTAAATTGTTGTACTTTCCTATTTAAACAAAGCTTCTTTTTCTTATTTACTTTGATAACACCGCTATTTCTCTCTTGACATTATTTTGTTATTTTTGTGTTTTTTTTATTTAATTCATCAAATTGATACAATCTCTCATCGTCTTAACAAGGTCTTAACATTTTCACCACCTGACTTTCTCAGCCAAATTTTTCTGTTCTATTTTCTTATATTCTACATTATTTCTAGAAATGAACCCTAATTTTGGAGCCAACACAGAAAATTTGAGTAAATTTTCAGTTTTTATTTCAAAATTTGGCTATTTTTGTCTCAATTTTCCGAAGGAAAGTGCAAACTATAAACAGGACTACTTTGTGAATTTGTGATGAAAAAAAGGGAAACTGGTGGTGAAAAGGTTAATCAGAGTTTTTGAAAAAAATGCAGAAAAAATTGACTATACATCGTTCAAACTATTCTTCTAATCATTTTCCATATGTAATTAATTAATAATTACCTTGTAGGGATTGCGTTAACCCCATATTTTGCTTCCCAGACTCCAATTATTGAAGAGGGACCCAGTTTTTCAGGCAAGCTGGGGTCCAATTTCTAATAAAGTTATCCAGGGTCAAATTTCTATTTCTTAAAATTCTGTAAGTGGGACTCGTCTTGCCGAGACACTAGCGCAAACCCTGCTTGACTTTAAGATGCTCACTTGTTTAATGGCACAGGTTTCTTTTATCTCTTCTTGTTAACCCTAATTAACTTAGCTTGTAAAAAAAGATATTTTATATTGTTTGCATTCATAAATGCTGGATTATTAATATTTGATGAGTTTTTCAGTGCAGGTTTCAGTGGTGCAGTGTATTTGTCTCTTGTATGTTTGTTTCTGTATCCGCTGATACATACATTTCCTATTGAATCTGGTTCTTAGATCAAAGTTACCCAAAGTCTTCTTAATCTATACTGTGTTTTGTCCTATATAGAATCAGGTTTTCTAGTTTATTTTTAAATTGGGAGCATTTTATATTCTATATTCAAGGTTAGGAGATCCAGCATTTTATTTCACCATTTTTTTGTGTGAGAAATATACCAGTGCACCAGAAGAAAAAAATTGGGGGGGGGGGGGGGGGTGTCACAATTTATATGTATCTTCAAATGTCAAAATGTTTATATAGACCCAATGAATCATTTGAAACCATATCTGACCTCAGTGTTGTTTCTCGTCAAACAGAATGTTTATTGTGAATAAATAATGAGAAAGCATGTTTTCACAGAGAATTGTTATGTTGGACATCAGATAGTGCACCCTCTGTTGACAACTTTAACCAATGCTGCTTGCAGTTATTTCCTTCTGTTTTAATAGCTGAATTCCTTTTAATCATTGAGTGAATCCTGCTGTATTGTATTTTAGATAATATACATTGTATAAACAAATATCTACATTTCTTCTTGGGACTCTATGAGGGCGCTATTTAACCATCATTTATAAATCAGGCAATTCACAATAACAAGGAAGATCATTATTTAGTAACTGGTGAGGGCGCACTGCAATGACAATGTATACTTTTAGCTTCTGTCATATCAACTGGATTAGACTCAAAGTTAAAATGATTTTTTTTCTCTTTGGGTAGAGAAAAGATGATAAACCTGATTGTGCTACTGAAACAAAGAAAATCAAGAAAGAGCATGATATCATCTCTAAATCACCAACAATAGAGAAGCCTGAACCAGAGAATAAGGAGTAAGTCACTCTAGTAATTTGATTGTATGACACTGTATACAAAAAAAATACACCACTCATTTGTTTATTGCTACTGAATAAACTAACTTTACTGTAAAATACTTTATTTTCGCTTGGAATAAATTTTTGCTATTTTCACTGAAGGAACTGATTCAGTTAAAATAAAATCCAGCGAATATACCTTTTTTCCTATATTTTACATTCAACTCATTAAATCAGTGAAAAATAAATTCAATACAAAAAACGTCTTTTCAGTGAAAATTAATTTCAGCTAAAATAAATTATTTTACTTGTACATTAACATTTCTTCTGCTGAGAGCCTCCATAGATGAGCCAAAAGAATCTAAAAAAAAACAGAGTCTTAGTGTTTTTCCCTTAATGCACAAGTAATAGGTACATGTATTTTAAGTGAGAAATTGTTAATGCAAAACAGTATAGACAACAGCAAGAATCCAAGAAGACATTGTTTTGAATTGATTTTAGTTCTTAAAGAGCCATGATAAATAATTGTTATGGCCACAACTTGCATCTGGAGTTGATCATTTCTAAATTGATTGAGCTTTTTGAGACTTCCTAAGCACCTGTAAAGAAATTGGCCGGGCTGCTTTGAGAAACTGGACTTGTTTGAACTATGTATGGAAAATGTTGATTGTATTTAAAGTTTATAAACTTATGTTTTTATAGGATTGGTGTGAAAGCGGAGGATAGTCACGAATGGGATCGTAAACACCCAAGAAGGTTATCAGAAAGACGATCAAGTAATACAAGCATTCAAAGTACAAATAGTGTGAAAAAAGAAAAAGACAGTCCGCCAAGGAAAAAAACTAAACGTGACCACAGTATAGGTGACACTAAACATGATAATAAACTTAAACGCAGAGACTGGGACACACCTGAAATTAGGACTATAACAAGTGAAAGTCCCAAAGCTGTGGGTCTGACGTCTGCACACCAAAGTAATGGACATAAAGCAGGCAATGATTGGAGTGCCATCGCTGGTGGAGTTCATCTTGATGGTCCTGAGAGGAGGCACCAGGAAAGGAAACCTATCAAAACAGAGTTTGATGAGACGTACGTCTGTTGATCTGAATCGTATTTATAGCGATAATTGTTTTTTTAATAATCCTGCAAGTGTTGGTTTGATTCATGGATTTGAGAAGTTATCAGCTTGACTCAAAGTAATTTGTAGCTGATTAGCGCCCTCACAGTTGTAGTGAGAAAGAGCTAAATGGTTGCTTACTGCTACCTCATACACAGTCAATGATTACATGTATATTCATTTAGCGGAATCGTCCTTGTATTGACATGCTTGAATATTAAATGTTAAATATTTTCTGTAGACAATATCCTGCCGATCATTATTGTGCTGAGGCCAAAGAATTGAAGCATGCAGCTGACGTACAGGTAAGATATTTTATAATCGGTATAATTTTGAGGACGATCCATTTACGCAACAGGATAATGTATGTCAATGATAGACCTGCATTTGTGGAGCACTACTGTAAAACCATTTATTTTCACTGAAATTTAATTTCACGAATTTGAAGTATTGAGCATATTCACTGTGTTTTAATTTCATGATTTTATCTAGGAAACAATGAGTTTTATTGTTACTTTACAGGTTCAAGTTGATTTAATTTGGTTGATTTTAATTAGCAGCTAAAATAGGGAAATTAACACCCAGTGAATAATTAATGCTTTACAGTATAATCTGGGAGGATCATATTGTTAGCCCAGACTTCTTCATGTGTTCATGCCATCATGATATTGCATTCTAGGTTGACAAGATTGCCAAAGCCTTGACTTATGTAGATGCAGTCCTATCATTTATTAAGTGCAGTAATGCTATAGAGACGGACTCAGAGAGCAGATCATCACCGTTTAACATGTACTCAGAGACGTCAGATCTCATAAAGTAAGTTTTATTTCTGATGTTCTAAACTGTAATTTAAAAAGAAAGTTTGGTTCCCCAATCCCATTCGCATAATGTATAATGTGAATATCAAAATGGTAAGTTGAATTCAAATCTGATGTGAAATGGAGGGTCATTCTGTCATAAGAGGCCCCTCGTGATGTGAAATGGAGGGTCATTCTGTCATAAGAGGCCCCTCGTGGTGTGAAATGGAGGGTCATTCTGTCATAAGAGGCCCCTCGTGATTGCAAGCTGATTTTGTTATATGATTATTATGACATGGTGATAAAACAGCTATCAGACTATTTCATACAGTGCTGGCAATTCTAATTCTAGTGAATACTTATGTTATCTTAAAATGGCTAATTGATTGGATATATTTGATTTGCATCGCAAATAACAGAATTATATCTTTCAAGAAGCTCGTTGTTTTATCACTATTTGATCGATGTTCACTGATTATCCCCAAAGTGGCTGCTCTCATTGTCTCAAATCTAAGCATGATTTGTTGATTTTCAGATATATTATGAGATACACAGTAAACCATGGCTTAGACACTGGCGGGATAGATAAAAAACTAGCAGTCCTATGGTATGTATAGGCTTTACTTCTCATGTTATATATGGCCATAATAGTGTCTCATCTAAATGTACATTATTAGCTCTATTAGTGGTTCATGCGCTCACATAAACAGCAGAGGTGTGTCTTTGGTCAAAATGTTGTATTTTAATAATTCAGTATATAGTACTGTTGCCTTAAATTCACCTCTAATGGGGATGCGCTTCTAATAGAGCGAATTTGGAAATTATTAACACCAAAATGCTAAGAGTACTACCCATTGTTACCATGATTATCATATGATATAATTTGGTATACCAGAATTATTGATGACAACACAACCCCACATAAAATATATACAATGTGTGTATATTAAAGTGGGAGAGTCGTCACCTGCACACACGCAAGAATTGGGTCCCAAGCGATGATAACTAGACACACTAAAAATGCAAAAGCTCATGGGTAGATGCTTGTTTGTAAACAATGACAATGACACACATGCGCAGGTGAGGACCCCCCCCCTCCCTCGCACGCTTTAAACATACATTGTTAACATGAAATTTATGTGCTGCATTATGACTACATCCTGTTGCTACAGTTATTTTTGTAAGTATCTTTAATAAACCAATGAAATACTGTAAAATGACTAATTTTAACTGGGTTTAAATTTCACTGATTTACCATTTCAGGCATATTCAGTAGGTTTTACATGTAAATTCACGGTTTCGTCATTTAGATAATGTGTTCTATGCTAAATTTTACATATTCACTGTGTTTTAATTTAGCGCATTTTTCCAGTCAGCGAAATAAGGTAAATTAAAACCCAGTGAATAATTACCCCCTTTACAGTAACACATAGAATGTCTTCACTCACATTATAACATGTTACTACTGTATTGCAGCATGAGATGCCAAGCCTTACTCTGCAACAAAATGTTTAAATTAAAAAAGGACAATGCAATGAAATTTTCCAAGATTTTAACGGACCACTTCAAGACACCTACCAAGCCTACAAATGCACAGGCACCATCACCATATCAACCTAATTGGAATGCCAAGTATGTTAATTATTCTTTTGTCTATATTCATTTACCAGTCGCAGTATACATTATTAAATACATTTTTCATTTTCTAGAAGTGTACATATCATAATAACCGTCAAAGTCACTTTGTCATATTTTCTTTCATTTGTTATGCTTATATGACAGTTTTGTAGAAAGTGGATTTTTTATCCAGGGTTATTTAACTTATATACTTCATGACGTGCAAGACAAACCTAAATAAATGACTTGGTTATAAATTTTGAAAAGTTTAGTTGAATTATGAAATTATGTATTCAGAAAGTGTAATATATTGCTTAGATATTGCATACATCTGAAGAAAAGAAGTTTTCTATACTTCCAATTGGGAAAAATACATCTCTAAATAGTGCAATCTGTCATCAAAATTCAAAGCTGCTTATAAGATTGTGTCTGATTGGGTATTTAACTCTGACACTTAAAAGTCAGACCAATCAGAGAGCAGCTTGTTTATGAACAGTTTTTGTTTAGACATATTAATTAACTGATAAATGAGTGTCAGTTATTATTGCCGAAAACATTCAAGTATTGGTGTCTATCAGTGAAAATTAATTTACAAATTTACATCGAGTTGTATCGGAAGTTTTTTTTTTAATGGTACTTCATCAAAATATTAAATTAGAACTATATTGTTGTTGTTAGGAGTACTACTGGGACACCGTCACCAATGTCACCGACACCATCCCCTGCTGGTAGTATCGGTTCTGTTGGTAGCCTTAGTAGTAATAATGGAGACGGGTACCTCTCAGTCACGCAAGCCTCTTCTGCTCGTATGACCAATGGTATGGCCACCCCGTCTGCAGCACATGCAACGGTCACCATTCCACAACGAATTCACACCATTATGCAGCAACAGACGGTTTATACAAATTATTTATTATCAAGTCATGACCTTTGGGAACAAGCTGATGAACTTCAGAAAGAGAATGAAGGTATATTTATTTGAGTTTTTTTCCATGCACTGTTCAGGCATATGTGATTAAAAATATCCCTAAGAGGTATTTTTTCCATGAGATGTTCTGAGGCACAGTTTTATTTATGTAATATTTGAACCATGTAAAGACTGGTGTGTCTGTAATCAGCTTAGTACTATTTTAATGTTTTAAGAGTTCAGTAAATGTAATTTTATGTTTAGATCAGGGGGTGGGGTGGGGTGGGGGGGGGGGTTGGAGTTGCATGACACGATTGGTTGAAATAATTGTCTCATTTGCATAAATTAATATTCATGACATTGACAAACTGGTCTTTTCAGTAAAATTGTGCCAAAATGCTTTCCGATAACATACATGACAGTTTTAAATTGACTGATTCTATCGTTAAAAAATAACCGAAATACTAATGTAAAGACGTTATTTTGAGACATGTTTTTGATCAGACTCCAGCAAACTGTTGAAAGTAACCACAGGTTTATTCTTTACCCTGATCATAGCAAATTACGAAATTCATAGAGAATACTGATGCACGTTTATATTTCACTATTGCTCAAAATTGCGCAAAATGTTTTCAATGGCTTTTATCAGTGACAAGTTACCTAATTAGTATGCATTTCGAGAAATCACAGTGTGTGTGTGTGCATGTGCAGTTTGAAATAGAACGCAATAAAATCACGCGTAGAACTCGGGCTCCAGCAAAATATTGTGACGTCAAACTGGTTGTCGATTGAATTGTATTGCAATAGACAGAATTTTAGAGCCTGTATTTTTCTATGAAATGTTTCTGTTGAGAATTATTTTGTAAAGAAATCGCTGAAATTATTTCATTTGTTCGTAAAATGGGCGATGTTGCTTTTACAATGGGCTATGAACGACTGACTTCGAAACGTTCCATTCAGATCAGATGGCACTATCTCGTGCCAATCACCCCTCCCCCGGTTTAGATCCACATCTATTACATATTTTATTTATTATATATTAAGCCTTTTCATCGGTGTTAGCTCTTGTTAATTCCATTTCATCATTTCTCCTTCCAACAGAGTTCTTCAGAGGGTTGGACATTGAGTGTGGACATCTCACTTTTCATAGCAGTATTTTGGATCTGGTTCGATATGTCCGCCTTGGGCTTCATCGGCTTCGCTCAATAGCGACAGGTCTCTAGTGATGTGTCGTTCTCCAATGTTTCAAGCAAGAGAGTTTAATGAATCCACTGTCATTACAGATATTTCTATTTAATATTTATGGAGATTTTTATTCAGTTGTTTCTGACCGGTCATGCTACCAATCACAAGTGAATATGCATGGTCACATGACCCCCCCTTTAAATGACCAATTTTATGCCTGCCAAACTCCCCAGCCAATGAAATATGCATGAGTAGGTCACATGAATCCTCTCCCTTGCATTGGAAAACACCTAATGAGGGGAGGGAGAGATCTCTGTAAACATGTTCCTTGGTGTGTCCTATTTCATTCCAGTGCAATCATAATCTAGCATTGGGATGTTGACACAATCAGAAAAAATGTACATGAAAGTTGACATAGTGCGAACAATGCAAATTGTGTATGCATATATTCTTGAACAACTGTGTCTGTACTCACTCACTGAAATACTTGCCATGGAATACTAAATAAGATCTCTTCACAATGGATTCCATTTCTGCGACCACATGACATCACTTATTAATACCTTGCCTACTAAGTATGGCTACAGTTTTTTAGTTTTTTTTGAAAAAATACAGAGAAAAAATCATTTTGTTATATTAAATATACTGTACTCCTTACATGCACAAGGACATTGTTTGCATAATTAATATTATTATAAAAAATAATATATGTTTTTTTTTCTGGGATACTTTTCTTAAATCCGACGTAGAAAGATTAAATATGTCTGCAATTTGTTTATGTATTTTTGTGAAAAAAAAGTTGATAAGATTTTTGTGTACTTGACTTTAAGTCCTATATCAACTGATATTTTATTTTGTAAAAAAGAAAACAAAAAAACTATAATAAGAAAAAAAGCTTGAAAAGATAAACAAGAAAAGCTTTTTTTTCTTCATTTAAAGTATGTAATTATGAATGCAAATAAATTGATATCAGTCCGCCAAAATTGTGTAACAGTTGGACACAATGCTTGATTGCCAAGGTCAAATGTCTTTTACTATTTATTATGATAAGTCATGTAAAGTGTTTGCACTGCATACAAAGAAAGCAAAATCTATTTTTAAAGAAATTTGCCTACTATCAAATATGAACTTTTTCTAGGAAAAACAAATTTTTTCAAAAATTACTAGTAGGGGAATAGAATTTGTTTTATACTGAATGAGAGGGATTGCTAAATGTGATTTGTTAACTCAGCTTGTTATGTGCAC